TATCTGTTTTGAACCATTGTAATGCACTGATAACCACCAAAAACGGTTGGTGATGAGAAAGTCACATGATGAACCAAAGCTTATCACAAACAGTTTTTCTACGAGCTGAGGACCGCTTTGAATAAGAAGGTGCACAGTGCCATTCACACAAACACTAAACACCATCATGGTGACACACATGATACTGAAATAATGCAATAAACATTCATTTAACAACATTAGATGTAAGATAAAACCCTAATGTACACAACTGATAAGAAAAAAACTAAGAAGAAACAGTTATTAAAAAAAACATCAAATATTAAGTGTCATGCAGGGAATTCTGGGAGTGTCAATTTACGGTTTGTCACTGTAAATTATAGAATGACTTTTTCATTTTCACTTCCAAAAACTGTAATTTTAACAATATTTTACTGTAAAATTACATTAAATATAATAACATTTATTCACCATATATAATATGGAAACTTACTGTTAGCTTTTTACGGTGGCATTTTTACAGTATTTTACTGTTAAAATCACAATCATTTTTTACAGTGTATAGCAAATGGTTGATTTCATTATAAAACATGCTACTATCCACTTACAAAAGTTTACTTAAGAACATATCATGTATTATCATGTTTTTGGACTTGGTACTAAAAGTAAATAACACAGAACATGGATATGCACTTAAAAACACCAAAAAATGCCATGGTAGAACGATATAAAAACCATGGTAGGCTACATGTTATATTTCAAAGTTCCATAGTGTTTCTATTTGATTCCATCATTGTACCATGGTACAGCTACAGCATACTTTCTATTTAGGTTTACATATTTATTTGTAGTTTTTTTTTATTAATAGTACCTGAGGCCCATCGCATGTTGTATGACTTGGTTCTTGCAGTTCCATTGAAGTAATCTTCTAAAGTAAAAGTCCTCTGGGATTCAGTTTTATCCACTGATAGATAGATAGATAGAAAGATAGATAGATAGAATTGATTTATTGAAACACAAACTTTGTCACTGTATGTGTTATATAATAAATTGTGCATTATACAAGCAAAATCATTATCCCGTGCAAAGTTCAGATTGAGGGAAAGATAATGGCTCAGATAAGAGGTGCAGAGCGGTCCGTTCAGCGTCTAAAACACTGAAGTAAGCACTCCTGCAGCCAATCACCTGTGACAGCTTACTAACTATAATATTACTTCAGTAAGTGAGACTTATAAATCCATAAACATGTATAATAATAGTTTGACATTTACAAGTTTACCATGAATCCATAGAGCTATCAGAAATAGCTATTGATTTCAAGAGGCATTAATTAAACGTATCCACACAAATGCGCATGGATTTATCCATAAACAAGCACCTACCGTTGAGTAAAATGGCTGTTGGAACAGCTATTAACACAACGATCACTACGATCCCAAATGCTGCCAGAATCCATTTTCCAACCCCCTAGAATATGTCAAGAACAACAATCAGATAAATCCACTTTAAAATCAATCATACACGCAAAGAACGCAGCGCCTTTACTCTCCAAATGCGCTTTTACGCACAACTCTCTAAAGTTAAAAACGCACTTTTACAAACTGTGCACAAAATATATGCACTATTTAGCACTTACTGACCATCTTAGAGTGAAATGTGAGAGTCTTGGTTCAGAATTCCGTTATATTACAGCGCAATTCGGTTTCTCTGTTGCGCGCGGACACTCCCGAGAGTCGAATAGAGCAGGAATGTTAAATATTACCTCAACTTTGCTTGTTAAGGAAACAATAAAGTGGTGACAGCTTAAAGTTCGCATTCCTTTAAAACGCGGTATCTTAGTCACTGATACAGTAATTTCACTGTAATGCATGTCAAAGCTACTAATGAAGCTGAGCGTGGTGTTTTCTGCACAAAAGTTTGTCACGATGGCATGTTGTAAATGAATGGATCAGTGTCCTCAAATATTCATGCAAAGCAGATCATTTTTCATTTGTGTTATCAAACGCTCGATATTTGTCTTATAGCAAGCGCCATGTGAGGATGATTCGTCAGAAGCGTGTTACATACCAGTGAAATCCAATTCGTGAATCATTCTTTTGAACCGATTCGATTTTCGAGCGAAATGATTCGCAAAGCGATTATACAAAATGTATGTAGCTATTGTTAAAATGCTGGAAATTGTTAAAGATTTTAATGACTAGTAGTCGTATTAATATTTGAAATACTAGCCTATTCCCTGTTATTCAGGCTAAACTTGTAGCTGTGTTTTGGAACATGATAGCTATTTAGTTTTGAGCAGGTCATAGCTTAATAGTTTGCTAGCTACCACAGAACAAAAACCAGCTTGGCCAATTAGTAGCTGGTTTATTATTGGTCCACCATGTTCTACAAAAGCTATTTTACGAAAGAATGATTCGCTAAATGAATCGGACTTCCCAACACCTGTTAATAAATCTGTTAATTCATTAATCAAATCGTTAAAAGATAGGCCACAATTTACATTCTGTTATAGGCCTTAATAAATACTATTGTAATGAAAATGTGAAGCTTTAGCACTATGTATTAGCGATAAAGGCAAAAAGCAAACATTTCACACAGTATTAGTCGAGAATGGAATACATGAGGCATTACATTTTTCTGAACTAAGAAATAGAGCCATTTTTTCCATATGAATCATAGCTTAAGGAAAGCCAGCATTCCCTCGCATACTGTAATGGCCTGTTTTCTGACAGCTTTACAGCAGGCCCCATATAGCCTCTCAAACCATAAAATTTATGATGGTCATTGATAAAGCAAATAATAAATAATGTGAGGTGACATATAGGCGCACTTCCTTGAGTTGTTTTAAAGGAGATGAAGCGTGTGTTTGACTTTAGCATACTGGTGTATTATAAAAGCAAATTCCCTGATTTAAGTTCAAATCAAAAACTTAAGTCTTTAAAAACTATTCTAAACCTCATGTAGGCCATTTTGGGAATTAGATAATCGCATATGTTTCTACTTTGTTTAAACAATTTGATTAAGTCCGAATGGATTCCATCCCACATTAGACAATTCCCAAATATTAGGATTCAGGAATAGGGTGAACCCCTCTTTTTGGCATAAAGCATTATGTATTGCATTGATTTTCCATTCTTCAATCGTTTCTGTATTCTTTTAAAGAGTGTGTTTATTTATTTTGGTGTCTAAGCATATGCTTCCTTTGGGTGTGGTGTTCAATACTATTTCATAACCATGGATTGCAGTCGTGCACTGTGTAGTTGTGGTTTGTGGAGAGTCAATGACTGTTTACGGTGTTGCCACTTCATTTAAAGCCACAGAGGAGCTAGAGGGAGCTGCAGGAAAATTCAATGAAAAGACTTTCCTGTCAGTTTTTAGTATCTAAAGAGCACCTTTGAAATTTAAAACCATACATTATGTAAATTTTATTAATACAGAAATACTTCAAGTGCACTCAAGGCCTAAACTGTCTGAGGAAAACTAATTAAAGACTATTTCTAGGCCAATGTTTGGCCATTTTGTGAAAATGTTTTATGCATAACAACATAGTAGCGATGAATGATTCGCTACCCAGATAGCACATGTACTTCTGCAAGATGTCTGTTAAAGATCTCTTTGATCTGGAAAGCATCTGCTGTGGACAAACATCTAACAGACGTCTTTCAGATGTCAGTTTTACATACATTCTAAATCATAAACATCTTAAAGACATCTAATAGATGTCTATTTGACATCTAAAAGGAAACGTCCTATAGACGTATTGCAGATGAGCAAACACTCTATAAAATACGTCTTGCAGATGTAAATGCAGACATCAAATAGACGTCTCCGAGATGTATGTGTGCTATCAGGGTAACGATTTTTTGAACCGATGCTTCAACAGAAATGATTCACATCAACTGAATTTTAGTCATGTTCTTAATATCACCATTAACAAAGTAGGAAAACCCGTTGGAAAATCTCATGACAATTTGTAAAAATTTTACGTTTTGACGAATTGGTGGCTGATTCGTACAATCTGCTACACCCACTGACGGTTTAGGGGTGGAGTTTGATGTTTTTTTTTCTAAAAAGCAGTTTTCGTACGAATCACGAATTTATACGAAATGGACAACTTGTACAAAATAGTGAAGTTTTATCATTACACTGGGTTAGAAAACCTGCGGCATTTATGGTCAATCAAATTACTAAAAGTGTATGTTTTTCATATGAACCACAGCATACGAATTTATACTAAATCATCGCGCGAGTGACGCTTTATTGTGACATTGGATTGGAAAACCTGCTGCATTTTATTGTCAAACTACTCAATCAAAATTTGTGAATTAATAATTAAAAAACAAAAATAACTTTAAAATATCGTTATTGATTTATATTACAACTATTTATTATTATATATAATTTATTATATTTTATCAAGGGTTGGAATCAAACCGACTGTAACCAACCATATTCCGTAAGGACTCAAGATAATATAACATAGAAGATAACATGATAACTAAGGGCTTTTTCCACTGTCAAGGGCTGTAAAATGCAACAGATTAGATGTTTCACAAAAGATTTTCATCATATAGGAGTGAAAGGTCACATCCATGCATTCAAGGCGTTTACTGTAATTACGGTGCTAATTTTGCAATAAGTGAGTCACAATACCAGGATGACTTTCGGTTTTGACCAATCAGGGCAAAGTGTTCTGATGTCACTGTTGCTAGAGAAAGGCTCCTGCAATAAAGGGGCTGAAAAGACGTGATGTCACAGAAAACAATAAAAGGCCATGTGTGCTGTTTTTAGCCTGTTCACAACAGTCTTCGGAAGTAGATTTGAAAATGTGTTTGCACAATTAAACTGCGGCAGTGTTTCGAACAAAGGCGAATTATGATGTTTTACAAAATATTTCAAATTTGCGACTTAAAAAGGCTGAAGGAAACGTCAAAGGATTTTTTCCCCCATATCAGCGGATCTTCAGAAATCATTTAACAGCAGACAACAAGGGTTTAAAAGCCTGTTAAAAGCTCAACAAATGGCATAGTGTCTTCTTTATTGACTGCGCTCAGGTGGAACTATCCGTCTCATCTGCCACAAAGCGGACTTCCTCTGCAAACAAATACACACACACTCACTTAAATTCAATATGGCCTAATGCAGCATGGGCTACAGCACATTAAAACATCCTTTTTTGTGTCGCTTTTAACAGGTGATGTGCTTTAATGACATTGTAGCGGCATCAGGGACGATGTCACGCTGCTTCATGATGCGTTTGGTTCAGTAATGACTTGTTTATCAAGAAAAACACATCATTATTCTGTGACACAATAATGAATCACAGCACTTACGAGTCTCCAAGTGCACAGTAATACATCGGAAACATAAAATACACCTGCAAATACATGCTCTCCTCAATTTAAAAACTTCTCAAATTATTGCTTGGTTTGAAATATTTCAGAGCCTAAATGCTGGAGAAGTCTTTGCTGGAGTTTTTGATTGGTTTGACAGGATGTGTGCTATCTGTTATAAAACTGGAGACATGTTTATCCAAGATAAGGGTCATTTTGATGATAAGTATCTGGGGTTTAATGCATCAAAAGCGTAGCGAACATAAATCCAGATCTGGCCTTCTACATCCTAAAACGTCAAAACAAATTACTGTGGAGTCTAACAAAGTCTAACATCTTTTAACAACTTTACATATACACATGCATACACACACACACACAATAATAATAATAATAATAATTATTATTATTATTGTTGTTTTCTTATATTTACATATAGTAATTAATAATAATATATTGATTGTATATAAATAATACATAACTATTTTTATTATTATTATAACTATAACATTTAAAAACAATTTTAGGTTATATTATTATAATTTATATTTTCTGACAACAACAAGTAGTAGTAGTGGTAGTAATAATAACTTTTAATAATATTAACTATAATAATAGATATATTTTGGATTGTATATAAACAAGAACAATGATTTATATTTAAAGAATAATTGTAATCATTGTTATTATTAATATTACTATTATTATTAATTAATATTTTGGATTCTATACAAAAACATAACAATAGTTAATAATATATATATATATATATATATATATATATATATATATATA